TTTATGTGCATTCGTGGCCATCTTGGTTTGATTCTAGAATTTGAAGATAGGTAGCCTGGTAGCGGAATTTTTCTAGTTTTTTCCGTATTGGAAGGTTGGCAGCCCCTTTGGGCCCTAAAAGCTCCATATTTCGACAAGTCCGTGCTCTCTCCACATGTACTCTAAGCTTCAGTAGAGGCGTTTGACGGGAATTTGGCGAAAGGGATGTTCTTCCAAAAGTGAACCAAGAGGCTGTAGTATATGCAAATGTCCGTCACCCGATTACATATAATAGCTTAGATCGGCAGCGCGGAGTTTCCAGGATTGTCACAGAATTTCGAAACTGAATTTTCCTAGCAATTCCTTGATTTCCGTGACACATTTTTGTAAAATTTCCTGACAGTTGAGGATTTGCCAGATGGTTAAGACGCCATCATTTTAAACAATTTTCAGGCAAATTTTGTTGTTCGTCGTTTAAATCCGTTCTAGAGACCAAATAAAGGTGGCTCAACTGTTTTTTCCTGACACTTTCGTCATCTTATGAAAATGTGTGCTCCCCTATACTTTTATGCCCTGAATTGGACGTATTTCTATCAAACAGACCTATGTGCAAGTGAGAAATATGGAGTATACTCGTTAGTTCTCTGGCCGTACGAGTGAATGAGAATAATGAAGCGCCAGTGACGTCAGCGGCGAAGAAACCGACGCCGTTGCGGCTCGTGGTCAGCTTCAACTCATGAGTCCTGAGCTCTCGTCCCATCCTGGCGGCTCATGAATCCCGCATTCAGTTGGCACATAGGTCTGTTTGATAGAATGTAATATCCCGCTTTTCCAATTCTTCAAAAGGAATCACGCACACTTATACATTGCTTCCTATGCAGCTTCGACGAGCACACCCCATATTTCTCACCTCCACATAGGTCTGTTTGGTAGAAATACGTCCAATTCATAAATGATCTAAAAAAAGTCGAAATCTCAATTTAAAGACGGGGGTTTGGTGGAATTCGGTTCCTGCCGCAGTCTGGCCGTTTAACCCTTGATATCTCCAAAAGCGTTGACTCCCGATAGTAGTTTTTATACAGTACCTACAGGGAAGATAGCGGTGTGGGGTATCTATCCAGGACCTAGGATTTCTAGTGGAACTTTTTTGCGAGGAAAACAACCATCCACGGGACATATTTCCACGAGGTAGATCGGTTGAACTTGGAACTTACGGATTGCGGCGCTGGGAGCGAGCGCGCGACCCGGTGGGGAGCTCGAGCTATGGGAGCTTCCCAGCGGGTAGCCGGGGAACCCTTACAAGTTCAGCGCATCGGATTAGCTCCTGCGAGCCCCCTGCCAACCCCCCCCCCCTCGCGTGCTCTCGTCCGCCCTTCGCTTTCCTTCGTTTTCCCTCCGGTTGTCCCTGTCGCCTTGTCGCCGGTCGCCTCGAGCTGCTCGAGTACCTGGATACAGGGCTGCAATTTTTCATGAGAAATAAAATCGTGGAATTCCACGGGAAATATTTCATAAAATTTCAGAAAAATGGTAACGTTACATGATGTTTTTAGAGCGTGTTGCGTACCCAGCCCCTGAAAATATGCTTTATGTTTTTCACGATTTTGTGGAATTTCATAAAATATTTTACGGGAATGACCAATCTTAATGGAGATGTTGCATGTGTGAGGAATTTGCGATTTGACGGTTGATTCATGTGTAAAAGTTCTGTAAATGGTCCCACTGGTTTTCTCTGAAATCAACTCCCAAGCTCAAAAAAAGCTCTCAAGTTGAGGCCAAAATGGAGGGGATATCCCACGCTATCCTGAGAGTCCACCTCTACATCAAGACAAATTCTCCATGCAAAGATAGGGAGCAAATACCTTAGCAGGGTTGCCGTGTTTTCAGTTTTGGAGTCCCCAAATAAAGTGGAAACCCTGCCAATGTAGGTATTTGCTCCCCATCTTTGCATGAAGAGTTTGTTTTGATGTAGAGGTGGACTCTCAGGGTAGGGTGGGATATTCCGGATTCCCTCCATTTTGGCCTCAACTTGAGAGCTTTTTTTGAGCTTGGAAGTTGATTTCAGAGAAAACCGGTGGCACCATCGTGTTTCTTGCGAACTTTTACACAAGAATCAATAGTCCAATCGCAAATTCCTCACACATGCGACATCTCCATTTCACGGGAAATATTGCATAAAATTTCAGAAAAATGGTAACGTTACATGATGTTTTTAGTGCGTGTTGCATACCCAGCCCCTGAAAATATGCTTTATATTTTTCACGATTTCGTGGAATTTCATGAAATATTTCACGGAAATGACCAATCTGTCATGATTTCCATTTCATTTTCGTAAAGCCCAATTCACACTATTAAACTTATCATTCAACTGTTGAATACAGCTTGCAGTATGAAAAATTGGATAGTGTGAAACTGACGTGAGAAAACGACAATTTGATGAGAAATTATAAAGAAAATTGAATGTGACGTCACAGTCAATTTTTCGGAGGGTAAACGGAGAACGGAGAGTAATCAATTGAATCGTATTTGTTGCGTGCAACTTTCGGCGTTTCTGGTGGAGATGATTAAACCGATTTTTTCGAATCGATACTAATTATAGATTTTAAGTCGGAAATCGAAATTTTAAAAATGAAAAAGAAAAAATCCTAGCGATGGCCGAGGTGCGAAACCACCTATCTCCATTTGCGACGTTGCAGACTTCGTGGTTTCCTTGAGAAACTAGTTGACGTAATTTTTCAAAACTTCCTTGATTTTCCGTCTCCACTAGCAGCATATTCTATGAACATTCCAATCTATAAAGTTGGCTTTTTTTCTACTTCACTGGAAAAAAAACACATTAGATCTAGAGTCCAGACTCTTAAAAAAATCGACAAGAAAAAATACTCTTGATTCAATCAGATTTAGGCTTAAATCAAAAGGAAATCTGCTCAAATTAAGAGGATTGGTTCTTCATTTAAGCTTAAATCTGATTGAATCAAGAGTGTTTTTTCTTGTCGATGTTTTTAAGAATCTGGACTCTAGATCCAATGTGTTTTTTTTTCCAGTAGTGAAAACATAAATAAAGGCGGACATTTTGAAACACCGCCATGGAGATACGTGGTTTCGCACTTTAGCCATCCAGATATAACCTAAATCTACTAATAACATAACAAAGGATTCGTAGAGACCCGCTGTGGCATTTTTTAACAGAACAGGAGCTCATCAGACTAAACCGTGCGCCATCGATCGATCTGCAATGACCTTTAAAAAGTTGCCCTCTCTCTGTCACTCTCTTTAACGTTCATTCATTGATTCATTCCGTAGCTCGTAGCACCGAAAATGAGAGCCAGCAGAAAACTAACAACTCATCGCTCAAGCCACACTTGCTCACAACCTCACGTTATTCGAAAAGGCGCTGATCATTCCTTTGAAGAGCGTGGGAGAAAAACAAGAATACAGTAGGTAGGTTTTCCTTGTAATTGAGCCCTCAGTTAAAATTAAAATCAATACCAGTAAAAAAGTATTAAAAAATCAAAAGCAGCAGTGAGAAATTTTAAATCAATCTTGAATTAAACCTGCATTACTATATCTTGATGACCCATTTAAAATCAATATTCTACTGAAAAAAGGCCGACTGGACTGGCGACTGGGCATCCTGTTTCTAAGTTAAGTTACTTACGACATTTTAATGCGTAATACCTAAAGAAATCGGAGAAATCATCGATATTATAGACGTCGATTGAATATACAGATGACCCTACAGATTAAGGGATTTATATACCTACTACCAAACACTTATATTTTAACAGCGGTCTTCAAAATATTCTGGTTTTTCTTTGATACCTTAGACAGAGGAACATTTTTAAATTCATATTGCTGCATGGACTGTACAGAGCGCGCTATATCGTTTTGCGGCGTTGCAGACTTCTTTGTCATGTGCGCTTGATTTCCTGCGTAGAAAACTACCTACTGAACGTCATTTCTTGTTTACTTCGGCGAGTTTTTTTCTCCACGTGAAAAATATTCTGGGAAAATTTCAAGCTTTACTGTTTGTTCGATCACCTTCGAAGAAATAAAATAGGGGCGAAGATTTGGGACATCGCTAGCAGGATATACGTATTTTTGCAGTTCCACCGTCGAAACAGTCTACGTAATTTCTTGAAAACTGCCTTGATTTTTCGTCTCCGTAGACAGAACATTCCGTTAAGATTTGGAATCCCTATCAGAAAACTCAAACTTTCCTTACATAATATTGTCAATCATTTTTTTAAAAATATATTTTGAAAAAGTTGAGTTTTGTAATTTAGCCGATAGCTTAGTCGGGCCGAGATTATTAGAGAGGAACAAACCCACATTTTAGAAAGAATCAAGTTATATAGAAAAGTTTTTGCGTTCCCCTAGCCGTGCCGTACCTACATTTTCTCCTTCCAAAAAATTGAAAGGCGAAGAAAAAGTATAATTATCGTCTGAGAAGAGAGGGGTTAAAGTTCATTTCCTGCGTTGAGCCTTATGCAGGAATACCTAAAACTTCAAACTTCTTTTTCTCAGTTTCAATGTGGGTTGGGTTCCTTTCCGATGAACTCGGTCGAATTGAATCAGAGAGAACGAAAACACACCAACTCGAAAAAATGAAAAGAATGAGGACACACACGAAACTGCACAGCAAGTGAAGAAGTAAGTTCAAGAAGAAAATTTTTGGTGCCGGAAGATAAGTAGGTACTTAAGGACACTTTAAAGGTCCAAGTTGGCACAGATTCTCTAACTTTAATGACCTTTATGGAAATTGACTGTCCTTAGTGAAAATTGAGGATTTTAGAGTTACCGAGTTGGTGTGTTTTCGTTCTCACTGATTCAATGGAGTGTACCTTTCTCTGTATAAACATGCTCTGAAGTTGGCTATCGTTCCTCTTCGAACATATTAAAACAGGCGCGGAAATTTTGAGATAACGCCATAAAGATTCTGTTCCCTTCGAGTTTATTCTTTCTCAGAGCGTTGGAGAAACAGCGAGAGAGCGCATCAGCAACGGCAACGAAGCCGAACCTACCTGGCTCAGATCGGCGTCTTCCATGATCTTCCTCTGGACGGTCATCGCCTCTCCCAGCGCACCACCAACATCCACAAACATAACACCGACGAAACACGCCAGCATCACAACCGAAACACGCGGAGCCATGATGGACACAGCCGCGACGACACACACAGCTTCGTACGAAACGAAACAACGAAACGCGAGTTTCAGACTACCTGATCATGGGCTTCACCGACTTGACGACCGTTGTCAGGGGGCCGAAAACGAAACGAGGAATGCGAAACACACGAGCGAGGAGTCCGTAGCGGAGCGCGGGCGAACAACGACTGAGGAGAGAAAACACGCGAGCGCGACTGATTCGAGTCGAGCTTCCAGGCAGCGGCCGCGAAGTCCTGGCGCCCGCCGCCGCGCAGTGGGTCGGGTCGATGGGGGGTTGGACATGGAGTTTTTGGAGGCTATGGAATCGATCGACTTTAGAGTACCTGTGCCTGTATAGGGAGAGTACCGACAGATCTGAAACTCCGAAAGTCCACCAGGCCTTCACCGATGCCTCCGCGAATAAAGTTAGGGCCCAAAAGGGCAGCCAACCTATGAATTTCAATTATCCAGAGCGATTTACTGATACTATTGTTACGAACCGTCCTTTATTAAGCACGTGTTTGACTCAGTTTTTGCATAAATATACTCAATTTCGCGGAAGAACGCTCATTTCTGTACATTCTTGGCCATCTTGGTTAGAATTGGAATCTGCAGACTGGCAGTGAAATTTTGTGCGTTAGAAGTTGGTTAGAAGGGTGGCTGCACTTTTGGGCCCTAAGCCCTCCATGAACCGATCTGTCGCTACTCTCCCTATACAGGTACTCTAGAATCCCATAGAGTACCTGTATAGCGAGAGTATGGACAGATCGCTTGCTTCATGGAGGGCTCTAGAGTCCCTTTATACCCAGAGTTACGACAACTCACTTTTGGTTGGGCCAGGATTGGGCTGAAAGTGGCCTAAAAAAAAATCCAATTCTGATTGGTTCTCGCTCATGGAGGCCGAAACTAGTGCACCAAGATGGCGGTACCTCGTATGTGAACAAGAATAATCAAAATATTACCTAATTGTGGTTTATCAAGAGTAAATTGTTATTGCCATCGGTCCAAAATGAAAATAGATTAAGAAATTATTCACAAACCAATCTCATTTTCTTTTTAATTGATCAATTTGTTGATGTTGTTGTTTCTGTGTGACAGACATCGCAGGATTCCTGATCCTTATCCCCCAATATCGTTCGTTTGAGTGCACTAGTTTCGGCCTCCATGGCCAGCCAAGGTCGGCTGCCAGTCAGCTGATAATCGAGTTGTCGTTACTCTGGGTATAAAGGGACTCTAGAGGGCTCAGGGGTCAGGGCCCGAAAGTGCAGCCACCCTTCTAACCAACTTCTAACGCACAAAATTTCACTGCCAGTCTGCAGATTCCAATTCTAACCAAGATGACCAAGAATGTACAGAAATGAGCGTTCTTCCGCGAAATTGAGTAAATTTATGCAAAAACTGAGTCAAACACGTGCTTAATAAAGGACGGTTCGTAACAATAGTATCAGTAAATCGCGTTGGATACTTGAAATTCATAGGTTGGCTGCCCTTTTGGGCCCTAACTTTATTCGCGGAGGCATCGGTGAAGGCCTGATGGACTTTCGGAGTTTCAGATCTGTCCACACTCTCCCTATACAGGTATGTACTCTAATGGAATCGATCGACTTGAAACGATGAATTCGACATGAAGTAGAAAGAATACATTAAATTTTGCATGCATACTTGAAGGAATTTATGCATATTTTTTTCTTGGAATATTCAGATAATTTAGATTAAATTGGGAGCAAAACAGTCTGAAAATTTGGAGAAAATTGTTCCAGAATTTCCCCAGTTTTGTTTGTTATTGAAGGAAATGTGGCAATGCCTGAATGCTCATATGGCGTTTTTCCTTAGCGCGGCAGAACAATTCTTTTCTTAGATTTGCTTTACACCGCAATCACACGCTGAATGTGGGAGCTGAATGTGGCTTGAATTTGGAAGTCATCGGCCCGATGCCTGAATTTTGCGCGTGACGCGCAAAATTCAGCACCGATTCTCAGCAACCATCGGACCAATTTTGAATTTGTCTGAACTATTCGAGTAGATTTGATACACATCTGGATGAAAATAACTCGAATTTGCTAAATTTCAGCCGTTGGGCGATGACTGTTGACTTCCACATTCAGGTGCTAAATTCAGCGTCTGATCGCGGCATTAAATGTGACAACTGATTCCAGGTGGATTTTTGGCACTGATTCCGAAAAGGGCTGATTCTGTTTTTCTGCGTCAGCTCCATTTTCTCCGGAAAAATCGGAATTCAGGGTTGCCACAGAATTTAGAATATGAAATTCCCTGACATTTCCCTGATCTCCCTGACTCGCCCTGAGTCCCTAACTTTTAAACTTTCACGATTTGCATTTACAATTTTATAAAATCGTCATCTTCCAGCCAAAGTATCCTAAGCGCCAAGCGGTGTTTCAACATTTCCGCCGCCATTTTATTTTTTTACAGAGACATTGTTCGTTGAATCTGTTTGAAAATTTCATTGAATTGTATCGCCAGCACAAAGAAAATTCAGTGAAAATTTCTGACAGCTTCCGTTGAACAATTTATTTGTCAAAATATAAAATGGCGGACGACATTTTCAATCGTCGCATGGCGCTTGTGATACTTGGGCCGGAAGGTAACGATATCTGCATTTTGTCCGAATTCTCTTGTTGAAGCTTACCAGTGTGCGGCCCCCACCTCCCCGCGGTTGGATAAACCTGCTTGAACCTTTCGCTCTTATAGGAGCGCGCTTGACTACGGACGAAAGACACGATTTTATTATTACCTTTATCCTTTATCCTTATCCGTGCTCGTTTCTCCGCTTGTTGGCGCCCGGTCCGTGGAAGAAAACTGTCCTGTTTGGCGCCATCGTTGACCGAATGGAAATGAGCGTGGGTTTTAAATCGCGTTTTGATGGTGGAAAGTTTATGGATTAGTAAAACATGATGAGATGGGTCTGAGCGCGAAGATTCTGGATCCAAATGTATCTGCCCCAAAAGAGAAGTGTGGCATTACGTTTTGGAGCGTGCGAAAATTGGTGTCATTTTGCAGTGAGGAAGTAAGGATAACTACTATATCGACGGTGAAACTACCAAACCACGTATCTCGATTTGCGACGTCGCAGACTTCCTGTCATACTTTATTTTTTAAATGAAAAACTACTTAACATCCAGTCTTGAAAATTTCTGTGATTTTTCCTCTTTGTGCGGAAAAAATTCCGTGAAAATTTCAAGGAATGATATTGATTTGGTCTACTTCAAAAAAATAAAATGTGAGCGTAGATTTTTAAACACCACAAACGAGATACGTGGTTTGGTAGTTTCACCGTCGATATGCTGCCGTGCTAAGGAAGAACGCCGTATGAACATTCGAGAGTTGCCACATTTCCTTTGATAAAATGTTTATTTATGAGGAAAGTTACGAATATTGTTCCTTGAAATTTTCAGGAACTTTAGATCAAAATAAAAAGAATATTCCCTGAAAAATTGGAAGAAAAATATTCATAAGTTTACCAGGAAATTCGTATTTTATCGAAGAAAATTTGGCAACGCCTGATGGCTCATACGGCGTTTCTCATTAGCTCGGCAGTATGGACCGCGTTGAGCAGAAAAGAACCGACCCACATTTTCGAAAAAATTGAGTTAAGTGTGTGTTTGAGTTTCACTAGCCGTATATTTTCTCCTGCCAAAAATTGAACGTAGAAAAACAGAAATTAGTTTGTGAAAAGAGGGGTTGAATTTTAAATCTACATATACATTGAGTCTTGTGCAAAAATAAAACTTCAAAGCTCTTTTTCTCAGTTTCAACTTAATGTGGGTTGGTTCCTTTTTGATGAACTAGGCCCATTTCTGGCTTAACACATACAATATGAAAGTGCACTTACATAGGTGTTTTTCTTTTGAAATTAACAATTTTTTGGTGGGAAGCAAAAACTATTTGCTATTCTGGGAGATTTTCTATAGAAAATTATGAAGAAGCAACATTTTCACAACGTTGTAAATACGCTTTGTTTTTGCTAAAAGCGATCCATTTGACGAATTACCTTGAGGTATGTACTTACAATAAATTATTTGTGAGCCCCAGGACGAAACGTAAGTATATGAAAAGTTGCGTTCGTGTGAGTTAAAAGCGCTTCGCAAACTGCTTGCATTTTCATGAGGTTATAATTCAGAAACAATTGAAAACCTATTTTTTGTAGAAAAGAGTAATGTAAGGAAAATTTGATCAGTCTCGAAGTACGGAACACGTATTAAACGACCCCAGGTACAACTGATGTTTTAAAAGGAGTAGGACATTACGTGAATGAAAAGTTGCGTTCATGCGACTTGAAGGCGCTTCCCGAACTGCATGCCTCATCGTGGATTATGAGGAACAAAATTATGTTCTCCAATAATTGTTCGATTTAGAAACCAAAGATATTCTCGTACTCAATTTATAAGATGAAAATCACAAAATTTAAGACACCTGCATATTCTCTATTGAAGCTTATTATGTGAGATAAACTTTTGCAAAAATTTCTGCTCGGTCGTTTGCCCGGAAGACTTTACTCACTCCTAAAAGTCGAAGTAGCTGTTCACCTTTCCCCTTAGAGTTGGAGATTTCTGATGACGCCAGAAAAAAGAAAAAAAATTCTTGGATACTTATTACATAGTACATACGAATATACACATATGATTCATTTTTGAAGGTGTTGATATACAAAATTTTCAGAGGTGACATTTTATAAAATTATGTGATGAGGTGGCCAGGGCCATGGATGAAAATAATGAAGATAAACTTACATTAAATTTTTTAAATCTTCAATGAATAAAAACATTTAATTTAAGTTTATTTCCATTATCTACTTACACTGTCTTTACTTTACACTATCTATCCATAGCACTGGCTACCTCAAAACACACTTAAGATTAGGTAAGATCTAAAATAACAGAAACCAAGGGACCTCATACAGTGCTGTATTAAAGGCCTGCATCTTGTTCTAACCCTCTACTCATATGTCAGAGTGGAATTTCTTCAGCGCGATTTAAATTTCAAAATTTTGACCGGTACTCCAATTTTTGAAGTCATGACCCCCCCCCCCTCCATTTACCCCCTGAGATATAGCCAGCCAAGGGGCCCTTGGGGCAACAAAATTTGGATTCCTTAGGGCCGAATCCTCATTTGACCCCGCAGTCTTCGACTTCATCCAACCTTGAGTAACCGAGAAAAAAGCCTGGTACCA